TGCAACGTATAGAGCTTTTGCTTGAGTTCTCGAGAATAATGCTTAGGAATGTACCTCTTCCTCATTAAAGCCTTTAATTTCTCCCAAGTTTCAATTGGTTCTTCATAGTTTCTCCTCCATTCTGATTTCAAAGATGTCCACCAAATATTGGCATAATCACAAAATTCAGCCACTGCAAGTTTCAACTTTCTTTCCTCACTAAAATTGTTGCAATCAAATACATGCTCGATTTTGCTTTCATATTGCAAATACTCCTCCGCATCTGATCTCCCATGAAAGGATAGAATTTTAAGCTTCACTCCCCCGGCCCCTCTCTCTTCCCTTTCATATTGGTACTCCCTATCAACTCTTAGTGGTAACATTTCTCTTCCCACTCTTCTTCCCCTTCCTCTGGCCCGACCTGCACCTCTTCCTCCCCTTGGATTGTGCCCGGCTAAAAGGGTTACATTGTCATCTTCTTCTTCATTTTCAACTCCTTCATTAACTTCCCTTCCTTGAGGATTTCCTAAAGCTACTTCAATTCGCTCCGCCACCGTCAAGTTCTAAGCCACTTAGAAGAGCATAGACTGGCCCTACAGACCAACACGAGTCACTCTATCTTAAAGTGGGTTCAACCGAGAGTCGAGCTAACACTGCCGAGACATCCTCCACCGCTAACTCCACCTCAGAACGATCCAACTCGTCTAGTACTGGTCTACGAGGCACTGTCGGAGGTGCCATGCTCGTTGCCCTCCTACTGAGTGCATCGACCACCAAATTCGCCTTACCTGAATGGTAGTTGATCTCACAGTCATAGTCCTTTACCAGTTCTAACCACCTCCTCTGCCTTAGGTTAAGTTCCTTTTGAGTGAAGAAATATTTCAAACTTTGGTGGTCGGTGAAAATTTGAATCTTTTCCCCATAAAGGTAGTGTCTCCATAGCTTCAGGGCAAACACCACCGCAGAAAGCTCCAAATCATGGGTGAGGTAATTAAGCTCGTGTACCTTTAACTGCCGCGAGGCATAAACTATGACTTTCCCATGTTGCATCAGAACACAACCCAAACCTCTCCGCGAAGTGTCACTGTACACCACTAGACCTCCCGTCCCATCCGGTACCATTAGTACCGGGGCCGTGACCAAATGCTTCTTTAGTTCCTGAAAACTCTTCTCGTACCCATCGCTCCAAGCGAATGTGGCATTCTTACGGGTCAACTGAGTCAATGGCGCCGCCAACTGGGAGAAATCTTGGACGAACCTCCTGTAATAGCCAACTAGCTCGAGAAAACTGCGGATTTCGGTCACTGTGCGAGGCCTTGGCCAACCACTGACCACCTCTACTTTGGCCGGGTCCACGGCAATACCTTCCCTGGTGACTATGTGGCCAAGGAAGGCCACCTTATCCAACCAAAACTCGCATTTTGAGAACTTCGCATACAAGCTATTCCCCCTCAAGGCGGTAAGGACCCGTCGCAGATGTCCTTCGTGCTGTTCTTCTGTCTTGGAGTAAATTAAAATGTCGTCGATAAATACGATCACAAACAGGTCCAAAAATTCCTTAAAAACCCAATTCATGAGATCCATGAATGCCGCAAGGGCATGCATTAGTGAGTCCGAAAGACATTACAGTAAACTCAAAATGCCCATACCTGGTTCTGAAGGCTGTCTTTGGTATGTCGGCGTCCTTAATTCTCAACTGGTGGTACCCCGATCGTAGGTCTATCTTCGAGAACACCCTCGCTCCTTTTAGTTGGTTAAAGAGGTCGTCGATGCGAGGAAGGGGGTATTTATTCTTCGTTGTCACCTTGTTCAACTCTCGGTAATCGACGCAAAGTCGCATAGATTCGTCCTTCTTTTTCACAAAAAGCACTGAAGCACCCCAAGGAGACACGCTCGGGCGAATGAAGCCCTTGACTAAGAGCTCTTCTAGCTGAACCTTGAGCTCCTTAAGTTCCGCTGGAGCCATGCGGTACGGTGCCTTCGACATAGGGGCTGTCTGGGGCAATAAATCGATGTAAAAGTCCAGTTCACGGATGGGAGGTAGCCTCGGGAGGTCTTCAGGGAACACATCTGGAAACTCTTTGGCCACGTGGACGGAGTCAATGCTGGGTGGAGTCACACTAATGTCGACGACACTGGCCAAATATCCCCAGGCACCATTCTGTAAAAGGCGTCTTGCCTTCAACGCTGAGACTGCCCTTGGAACTCCACTCGAAACTCCTTTAAACGTAAAGCTCCGACCCAAAGGTAGTTGGAAAGAGGCTTCCCTCCTCAAGCAATTAATGTTGGCTTGGTTGGTAGCTAGCCAATCCATGCCCAAAATGACATCAAAATCCCGCATGTCCAGTTGGATCAATCTTGCCTCTAGGGTCTGATTGTCAAAAGATAACTCACCTGCTCTTACCATTTGACTAGCAATCAAAATCGACCCTGAAGGTGTAGAAACTGACAACAGAAACCCTAACGGCTCTATTTCGAGGGTTGCCTGACGAACAAACGCAGTAGAGATGAACGTGTGACTCGATCCCGAGTCAAACAATACGTAAGCAGGCACATTATGGACTAAGACCGTACCTGGGAGATAATGCAAAGGTAAAGACATAAACCCCGCACGCAACACCCCAAATAAAACAAAAAGAAAACCCCAAGCGAGAAAGGAGTACCTGTGACAACGGTTTCGGCATCCGCCGCTTCCTTGCGAGTAAGTGCGAAGACACGAGCCCTCTGATTACCCCCCTGCGTCGGAACTGTTGGAGGAGCCCTCTGACCTAGCCTCTGAGTATTCGTGGCCGTCATAGAACATTCCCTTGCAAAATGCCCCTCCCTTCCGCACCTGAAGCAACCCCTAGTTCTCGTCCAACACTGCCCCGCATGTCTTTTCTGGCAGGAGGGACACACTGGTGGCAGGCCCTGTTGCTGAGCTGAGCGTTGGGGTGCTCTAAATGGCTGGTCGGCGTAAGCCGGAGAGACCTTCCTTTTCACACCTGAAGATGATCTGACTTCCACCAGAGGTTGGACACTGTTGGAGACATCCTTATCCATTATTAAGGCGCCCCTAACTGCTTCAGTGTAGGTGGCGGGTCACTGAAGGTCCACTGGTCCCCTTATTCCCTTGCGTAAGCCCTTAACAAACCTCTTGATCTTCATTGCTTCAGTGGGAATTAATTCCCGAGCAAAACGAGAGAGCTCCGTAAACTTCCTTTCATATTGTGCTACCGTTAAGGTTCCTTGGCTGAAATGGAGGAATTCTGCCTCTTTCATATCTTTCACGGTCTCCGGGTAGTAGTAGTCGTACAACAAGTCCTTGAACCTTGCCCACGTAACTGGTATGTTAGCATGATCTTCAGCCGCTGCTACTGAGTCCCACCAATTCAGAGCCTGGCCCCTCAACATAAAAACCGCACCCTTAACCTTGAATTGGTCCTCGCAACCTAGGTACACGTAAAGGGCTTCCAACTCCCTGACCCACTCTTCTGCTGTTGTCGCTTTCTTGCTTCCCCCGTCAAAGGTAGGGGGTCCGTAACGCTTGAAATCCTTGATGAATTGAGCCTCGCTCTGGGGAGTATGAAAGTGTCGAGGTGGCTGAGTTTGTGCA